TGAGATGAGGTGATGATGATGATGATGATGATGATGATGTATGATGGTGATTGATGGATGATGATGGTGATATGATAATGATGGATGATGATGAGGGTGGTGATGATGATGAAGATGATGGTATGATGATGATGATGATATGGTGATGATGTGAAAGGTGATGATGATGATGATGGGAAGATGATAATGATGAGATTTGGGTGATATGATGATTGGGGATGATGATGAAGATGATGGGGATGATGATGATGAGGTGATATGATGATGGTGATGATGATGATGATGGTTGATGATTTAATGATTGGGGGATAATTATGATGGTGAGATGGTGAAGATGATATGTTGAGATGAGATGGTAGAAAGATTGATGATGTGAGATGATTTGATGAGATGATATGTGAGATGTGGTGGGGGATGATGATGATGGTGATGAGTAATATGAGATGATGATGATGATGGGATGATGATTAAAAGGGTGATTATGTGATGATGATGAATGGTGATGATGATGATGATGATGATGATGGGAGAGATGATGATGAGGGGATGATGTGTTTAGAAGATGTGATGGTGATGATGATAATGAGCAGATGAATGATGATGGTGATGATTTATGAAGAAGATGATGTGATATGAGATGTGAGGTGATGATGGATGTTATGGGAGAGATTTGAGGGTGATGGGGGATGATGATTTAAAGATGGGAGATTTAAAAGATGGTGGATGAGGAAATGAGGGATGATGATGATTTAGATGAGATGGAAGGAAGTTTATGAAGATGGGTGGGGGTTGATGATGATAATGTGCGTGAGAAAGATGATGGTGAGATATGAAGATTTATGATGGTGATGAAAAGATGATGAGAAAAGATGAGGGTGGTGATGATGATGAAGATGATATTGATAAAAAAAGGGTGTGGTGAGATGATGTTGTTTGATGATGGGGGGATGATGATTAATGGGATGAAGATGATGATGGTGATGATGATGAAGATGATGTGATGAGATGATGATTTGGGATGATATGATGGGTTTATGAATTATGAGGAGATGATGATAATGATGCAGATGATGATGATGATGATGATGTTGATGATGATGAAGATGATGGTGATGATGATGATGATGATGATGGTGATGATGATGATGGTGATGATGATGATGATGGTGATGATGATAATGATGCAGATGATGATGATGATGGTGATGATGATGAAGATGATGATGGTGATGATGATGATGGTGATGATGATGATGATGATGGTGATGATGATGTTGATGAAGATGATGATGTTGATGATGATGGTGATGATGATGATGGTGATGATGATAATGATGCAGATGATGATGATGATGGTGATGATGATGAAGATGATGATGGTGATGATGATGATGGTGATGATGATGATGGTGATGATGATGATGGTGATGATGATGATGATGATGATGATGGTGATGATGATGATGATGATGGTGATGATGATGTTGATGAAGATGATGATGGTGATGATGATAATGATGCAGATGATGATGATGATGGTGATGATGATGAAGATGATGATGGTGATGATGATGATGATGATGATGATGATGATGGTGATGATGATGATGATGATGATGATGATGATGGTGATGATGATGTTGATGATGATGGTGATGATGATAATGATGCAGATGATGATGATGATGGTGATGATGATGAAGATGATGGTGATGATGATGATGATGATGATGATGGTGATGATGATGATGGTGATGATGATGATGATGATGATGGTGATGATGATGTTGATGAAGATGATGATGGTGTGCGTGTGAGGGTTCCATCAGTGCAGCGATGATGCTGCGGTCCCGGGGGGGGGGCTGTGTGGCCCCCGAGTCACCAAGCCGTTTCCATCAGCAGCATCTTCTGCTGCTCAGAAAAGAACCAGTTTGAGGTTCTTCATCCCTGTGGATCCCAGTGACACGCCCCCTCCATATATGGTCATACCGCTTCCCCTTCAGGTACTTCCTGTTTGGGAAAACTTCCCTCAGCCTTAAAACGGACAAACTGATTTATTCAGGTTTTACAGTTAATCTACAATAAGATCAAACGTTCCTGCGTGTTACCTGAACTTTCTGCTCCGTAACTATTTCTGTGCCCCCCTCCCCTGCTGAAGTAGATCACCATAGCAACCAGTGAGTCAGCACCTCCTCCGGTGAAGGAGACCCTCCATCACTGGTTCTGCTTTCTGGTTCTAAGCTGGAGCGGCGAACGGACCCGGTAGAACCCACGGCGTGCAGCAGGCGCCATGTTTCTCCTCATGTTGATGTCGGCCTGTCGCTTTAGTGACGGTTTGTTCTCATTATTCTGCTCATGGCGTCCCTTTGATGTGGGAGCGGATGACTGCAGCCTAATCACATTTTAAATGATATTCAAAGGGAGCACACCTTGCTGGCTGCTACGCCTCACAGATCTGCTGCAGCAGGCGCTGCTCAGCTGCTGCTTAGTGATTCCTGAGACGTCCTGCCTTGTAAATAAACTGTTAGATTCTTCTTAGTACAAGCCCACAGCTTTAGGGTGAAACACGCTGCTGCTTACAGCCTCTCTTTGTGAATATCTCTTCGTTTTTTTCCTCAAACAACCCCTCCGCTCGCTGACACCAGGCCGCCGCGCAGACATGCCTCCAGTCTAAACCTGAACAAGGACAGTAAAGACTGAGGCGCATCGCAGACCAGCAGCTGGATTCAGAAACATGCAGCATAAAGATTCCTTCCCTTCAGGAGGCTTAAAGCTTTCTGTCCTCATTAGCAGCAGAACTATATAAAATCCCCCCAAAAAACTGAATCTTGGTCCAAGTTGTTGTTGTAATACCTCTGCTTTAACAGTAGGTGGCAACAACACCGACATTAACGGCCTCCAGATAGAAAAGGAGAAACTGGTCTGAGCGTCCGTGGTTCACCATTTTATATGAGTGTCTACTGGGTAAAAAAATACTTGAAATTTCCAACAATGCACCTTGATAAGTAAGGCTCTCCTTGAAAAGCACCATGGGATTTGTTTGGGGGCGAGAAACAAAGATGGCGCAGGCACTGTGCGGGAGGCGGAGTCACATGACCGACAGGGAGCGAAGAGTATTTGTTGAACGCAGCTTCATGGAGCTGATCGGCTTAGACTCCCAGGTTAACGACACGCTGGAGGTACCTGATCTGCTCGGGGTCCCGCCCCTTCTTATGACATCATCATATGGCAACTCCACTCTGACGAACTGTATCCCACACAATTCCTAAGGATCAAATCTCTTCTTTAGTCTCATCATATTATCCCGATATTTGCTAATATTTTCCATTTCATCGTCGATCTAAAGCAGCTGAAAGTGTTGTCTGGGCAACCACAATGTTTTACATCATGTGCAACGTTCAGCCAATCAGGCAGCGTGACGTCACTGACAGGAAGCAGATCTGCAGCGGCTCTGATCCACTGTGGGTTCTGACCCGGAGTGGGTCAGGGCAGCCAGTACCAGACCCAGCAGCAGCGCCCTGCCTGCTGCAGTCACTGGAACCAATCAGGATTCAGAACCAGCCTGCAGATGCATGAAGAACCCGAAGGAGTTCATCATTATAATGAAAAGCTAATAGATAAACAATAAAATACTGTGTTTTAAGAATATAAAACTGGAGAATTAATAACCATTTTCCCAGTAATTTGAAAATAGCAGCAACATCAGAGATGTGCAGAATGACAGCAGCAGGTTATTTAACTGACTAAGGTTTCTATCATTACATTTGATTTGATTGGTTCCTGCTCCCGGTGGTTGGAACCTTTATTCCACTCTGGATTCTCATCAATCTTTCTTCACTTTACTTAAAGTTCGGTTTTCATTCTCTTCCTGCTTTTTGTGTTAACTGTCATGGTTGCTAAGCAACAGAGCGTCCCGCAGTTAAGGTCGCAGAAGGCTTGACCTGTTTGAATTAACAGCCATTACTGTTCCGGTCTCCTTATTTTTACAGACCTGGAAGGATCTGGTCCAGGTAGACCGGGTCCTTGGAGGACGCAGCCCATGAATTCAGACCCTCTGTGTCTTCATGAAAAAATCCTGTTTTACGGCTTGACTCTGATGGTCTAGCAGATATTTGCTATATTACTGCATCCAGACATCTTTATATTTAATAAACATCTAAACCCAGAGAATAAATGAATACATGGATGTCTGAATGTGTTCCTCCATCCTGGCTGCTCTTCATTATTCAGAGGATTACATGACGAACCGACTGACAGAAAAATATCCTGCAGAAAGAAAACCTGCAAAGCTTTTGGTTTACGGCAGAAAAAGAAACAAATTTTTGCTCTAAATCCAAGTCATCCATCTTCCCTTTCTCCCGTCTCTCTCTTATCTTCTCCCGTTTGTCTATGGTCTATTTTCACCATCCATCCATCCATCCACCCCATAAAGCCGCCTCTCTGACCGCCTGACTGCGCAGCAGCGATGCAGGCAGCGTCTCCCCTCAGGTCAGCTCTGAAATGAGATGCTCCCCCCCCCCCCGCCCACAAACCGAGATCCACGAAGTTAACTGGCAGCTGGAGGAGAAGCACAGACAAATAAAGGAGGTGCACCGTCCATCAGAGCTCTGCTCCTCAGCCTTCCTATAAACTGATTTACTCCCACTGCAGCGGAGGCTGTTTATTTACAACATCAAGCCTGTTTCTGGTAAGTCAGGAATCAATGCAACGGCGAACAGCAGAGCAGAATAAACCTGAACGTCTGCGTTTGCATGAGATGCAGGATGGGAGACGTCTGATCTGATGCTGCTCTCGCTCTCCTCTTTGAAACCCATAAAGCATCACTCAGATCTCAACATGTTGTCACTGATGTCAGGAAGAAGTCGAGGAGCATTTGGAGCAAACATGTGATCAGCAGAGAGCGGCGACTGGCAGGAAGCACTTTACTCTGGATCTTTCAGAGATTGAGGAGCGTAGCTCAGAACCACGTCCTGACTTCACATCGTGGCAGAAGAACTCACCGTTGATCCACTTGGCCTCCGGGTCGTGAACCTGGAACTCAGCTCTGAACAAGTCCTCCACAGTCAGTTTGGTGTCGCTTCCAGCTTGGCTGTCGGCTGCAAACAGACAAACAAAAAATCAGTTCTTCAACCCTTTTCCAGAACATCCTGCAGCTTTTCAACCAAACTTTATTCAGGGAGAACTTTTCCGACAGACTGCATCAGGCAGAGCTTCGTCTGCTGCCACCAGCAGCCTTAACATGGACCCAGAGTCCACCGACTCGTATCCATCGTACAGGACTCACCGGGACTCACCGTGACTCACTATGACTCACCGTGACTCACCGTGACTCACTATGACTCACCGTGACTCACTGTGACTCACTATGACTCACTATGACTCACCATGACTCACTATGACTCACCGTGACTCGCCGTGACTCACTATGACTCACCGTGACTCGCCGTGACTCACTATGACTCATCGTGACTCACCGTGACTCACTATGACTCACCGTGACTCGCCGTGACTAACTATGACTCACCGTGACTCACCATGACTCACTATGACTCACTATGACTCAGCGTGACTCACTGTGACTCACCGTGACTCGCCATGACTCACTATGACTCACCGTGACTCACTATGACTCACCGTGACTCACTGTGACTCACTATGACTCACCGGGACTCACTGTGACTCACTATGTCTCACCGTGACTCACCGTGACTCGCCGTGACTCACTATGACTCACCGTGACTCGCCGTGACTCACTATGACTCACCGTGACTCACTGTGACTCACTGTGACTCACCGTGACTCACCTTTGAACTCATAGGGAAGTGAAGAGGAGCAAAGCTGCAGAAGAAACTGGAGAATAATTAACTAGAACCACCTGAACAATCTGGACCATTGGGACCACATGGATTATCTGGACCATATGGACCACCTGAACAATCTGGACCATCGGGACCACCTGGACCATCCGGACCATATGGACCACCTGAACAATCTGGACCATCGGGACCACCTGGACCATCCGGACCATATGGACCACCTGAACAATCTGGACCATTGGGACCACATGGATTATCTGGACTATATGGACCACCTGAACAATCTGGACCATCGGGACCACCTGGACCATCGGGACCACATGGACCATCTGGACCACCTGGACCATCTGGACTAGCTGGACCATCTGGACCACCTGGACCATCTGGACTAGCTGGACCATCTGGACCATATGGACCACCTGGACCTGGTATATGGTGCCTTATTCAGTCTCTCCAGTTTCCTCTTAACCTGTCTTCTAGGGACAGACAGTGTTTTCCTCAGTATTTCCCTGTCTTCCCTCTTGAAGGTTCTTCTCTTCTGGTTTAGAAGTTCCTTCCAATCACCGATGATCCAGGGTTTATTACTGGGAAAGCATCTCACTCACCTGGAGGCTGGTTGGGATGGTGTTCGTTCAGTCCTCTCCATCTGTCCAACCATCTTCTCATTCATGTCTTTCAATAATAATATCTGACCCATTGTCCTGAATTACTAGAAATAAAACAATGTGCCGCAGGCTCAGCAGAGCCTGCTAGACGTCCTTCTCCCCAGACACCTCCTCCAGCTCCTCCTGAGGAGCTCCAGGACCAGCAGGGACACATAGTCCCTCCAACTGTTCAACCAGTCATGATCCAGATCTCATGACCGCAGGTGAAGGTAGGAACATAGACTGACCCAGAAAAATCGGTTCTGCTCTCTCCACCACAACAGACTGGTGCAGCATCCGCATCGTAGCAACAGTTTTATATCAACTAAATAACAGAAAATAGAATAGCAGAAAGTCCTCATCATTAACAGAATTAATGGCATGAAAACATCTTCTTGGGTAAATCAGTTCAATAATTGATCAGTTATTCATGAAGTTACTGAAATGGATCAAATTTTAAATCTAATTCAATAAAAATGTTTTTTTTATCATGGTTGCATTTTATATTTGGCAGTGAACTCATTTTATAATGACTCCATGTGTAACAATGAGGAGCAGGTGTTAAATGGGTCGGCTCCTGGTTCTGAACGTCAGCCATGTTGGCTCCTGGTCACAGCATGTTTGGGAGGTCTGGAATGAAAGTCTAACGGAGCGTGGATCCATCAGGATGAGGAGATGTGGCGGCGCCGCATCACATCAAGTCACGGGAGAAGAACAATAAGCCGTTTGAAGCAAATACAAGCTGTAAACTTTCCCAACAGGATCTCTGTGAAAGGAGCCCAACCCATTAAATGGCCGCCTCTATGGGTAGCATCATACCCTGCTGCCATGGCAACGCACTGCTCCTGTTTGGTTGTGGCTCACCTCTTATTGGCCCCCCTCTGAGTCAGTTTACCAAAACAACCAGATGTGGCCTGACAGAGACCTTAAAGATGGATCCTAACCTAAATAACGGACATTCATTAAAGGAGAAGTCCAGTCAGCAGGAATAATCAATGGATCATTATTTATCCCTAAAACTAATAAGTTTGCTGTGATTTAATGAATTTAGCATTAATAAGTAAAAAAAAAATTAAAAATAATAATTTACATCTCGATCACTGAGTCTGGGAGCGGCCATCTTTGCCCAAATATAGTAGCCCCTCCCTCCTGCCATCTTCCAGCAGTGACGTCACGGTGCGGTAAGCCTAGCGCCATTCTCCCCGCTTTACAAGCTAAATCAATGGGAACTACTAGATTCCTAGCCTTGTGAGACCATCCTGATCTCGCGAGCTTTCAAGGTTTCACTCGCAGATCAGTCTGGAGACTCTCCGTTAAAGAAAATTTGGAGCCGTTCACCAAACGAACGTCCAATCAGCGTTGGCTTTGAGGCGGGTTGAGGTGTGACGCAACGAGAAGCGCGACAGTTCAGTCTAAAGAACATGGCGGCTTCAGCCGATGAAACTAGCGTTAGCGTGAATAGCGAGCAAGTTTTATGGGAATTACAGAGTATTTCTTCACTGAAAGAAGAGCAAAACACTGCTCTGGAGGCTTTTCTCAGAGGAAAAGATGTTTTTGCTCTTCTTCCGACTGGTTTTAGCAAGAGTTTGATCTATCAATTGGCTCCTCTTCGTCGTCGCTCTGTTAGTACGTCATATGCTTCGTTGATCTGATTGGTTTATTTGGCCCGTCTATCACCAACATAGGCCAATCAGCTAACCAGTATTTTCGCCCCTTCCCAAAATTACTTCAATGGAAGGTTTCCAGATGGATATGTGGAGCAAATCCATCTGGCGGAGTCAGGTTACTAGATTCCTGATCCTCCACGAACGGGTTGGTCGTTGGATCGCCAACTTGAAGAGGGAGGATTTGCCATCGAACTTCTGGCCAGAGAAAAAACCCGTAATATGTAGCCAACATTTGGAAGAAGAATGTTTTCAAGATGACTTGGATAATAGCGCGTTGTGACAAACACCAGATACAGCACTGGGACTTGATCAACAGCCGATACCGCACCGTGACGTCACTAACCAGTAGGTGGCAGTAGTGTTCTTTGACAAACATGGATGCCTCCAGTAAAGCACATTCACATGAAAATTACTCTGAATTAAAAACACTGATCATTTATTGAACAGGATGGAATCATTTCAGATTTAAAGAACTTTCAGAAGTTTGAATTCTGAATCTTTTAGCAGGTTCTGCATTTCTCTCTGATTCTGAAGCCATTCTGTGATGAACACTGAGGTCCATCGCTCCATAAAACTCAAATCAACAATCCAGAGGTGTTCAACTTTGCACAGCTGCATCTGAAGCTTCCCAGATTTAACTTTGCTGAGTTTCATTCCTCAACCAAACAGAGGAGGTTGAAGGTTTGAGGTTGAATATTTTTAAAGCTCTTCGTTCAAAACCACAGAAGGAAAAAGGCTTCAGTAAAAACAAAGTAAAATGTGTTTAATTAATGCAGTGATTTCTGCCTCTTCTTTATTTCTGGCTGAATTAAAACAGGTGAATTAAAGGTGAACAAGAGAACCAAAGCACACAGTAGTTATTGACACCCTGAGGTTTGTCTAAAAGCATTAAACAGCGACTGAAACAAAGCAATACGTTCCAGAAACCCAGTTATTGATGTAGGGACGGTCCTTCACTCATCAGAACCCAACCAGCCTGGGAGATCAAGAACAGAACCAGGTCCAGAATTTACCTGGCGTTAGGAGGATGACGGACATGGTGATCATGGAGCAGACCACCAGGATGACCAGCAAGGCGATGGCGATCCCCTTCCAGTTCCTCTGAGGGGGGCTCACCCCGCCCAGGTCCTGCAGACAGAGAGGATAAATCGGTGAGGGGAGGAACCCGTCTACTGAACCTGCTTTATTCAACCATAAAGTTAAGCGAAAAACTAAAAATATATAAACATTGCTGATTAACGGAACCATTGTTTCATTATGTGGACTTCCTACACTCTAAGCCCTGTTAATAAATGTTCATCAGTGCAGAACGGCACATAAAGATGATTTATTGTTCACACCGAGTGTCTGATTTATTTCTACATTTTATAACGTCGGTTAATGCTGATACTGCAGGCCTGATTCTGGCATCATCACGACCAGATTCTGACCTGATCAGGACCATCCTGGTGGAAAACGAGTTAGAGGCTGCAGACGACCCGATACTGACATGCAAGTTCACCTTTCAGCTGAATCACTCTGAACATTTAATCAGACAGACGATGGATGTCTGATTAGAGTAGATTAGAATGGCCTAGTTAAAGTCCAGACCTGAATCCAGCTGGGAATCTGTGTCAAACTGAGTTGGACCTGCAGTCAGAGGAGGTTCTACAGTTCTGACTGTCTAGGTGGTCTACTGAAGATGTTTTGGGCTGATGAGAAAGCTTTTTGGGGAAAACCTGGTCTGTTTGGGAGAGACGGCATCCATCCCACTCTAGATGGAGCAGCTCTTCTTTCTAGGAATCTGGACAAATATATCAGTCCTCCAAACCCTGATAGACCAGGAAGCACAGTCGTAGTTTAACAGACCTCTCTGCAGCTTCTCTACTGTTACCCACTCTTTACTCCATCCAGACAGTGTCTTATCTACGACCAAAATCTAATGAATTCAAATGAATCCAAAAGAAGTCAATGATTGTCTTGTGATGGAATGGCGACCTGTCTTGGATGCACCGTCTTTCAGCCATAGATTCCTGCAGATACTGACAGTCTATGGATGGATGGAGTAAATTATGACAAATCTGATTGATTTCAGTTTGTTCATGTTAATGATAGATCTTCCTCATGCTCAAAGGTTACCTGTGGAGTACCACAGGGATCAGTGCTAGGACCAATTCTCTTTACTTTATACATGCTCCCAATCGGTAGAGTTATTAGACAGCATGGGATTAATTTCCACTGTTATGCTGATGATACCCAGCTATATCTGTCTATAATCCAGATGAAGCTAACCCATTACATAGATTACAGGCATGTCTGAAGACATAAAAACCTGGATGACTCTTAACTTTCTGCTTCTGAATGCAGACAAAACAGAAGTTATAGTCTTTGGACCAGAGTCTCTGAAAAAGAAACTGATTAGCCAGTCACTTCATTTGGATGGGATTAAACTGATTTCAGATAATAAAGTAAAAAATCTTGGTGTTATTTTTGATCAGGACCTGTCATTTAAATCCCAGATCAAAGAGGTTTCTAGAATTTCCTTCTTTCATCGGAGGAATATTGCAAAAATGAGCAATCTCCTGTCCAGGGGTGATGCTGAGAAACTAGTCCATGCATTTGTTACTTCAAGGCTGGACTATTGTAATTCTGATGGAATAAAGAAAAAGCTCAATATTTTTACAAGAAAACAAAGAACAGAAAACAGCGTCTGTAAGCAGATTCATCAGATGAATAAAAATGATCCAAGATCTCAGTGAGAAGCATCCCTGCTGTTTGGGGCCATGAAGGTTTTCACAGCATCAATGATCTTTCAGACTGTTGCAGTTTTTCACTGCTGCTGCCTGTAATGGCAGCTTCACCTTGGAGCTCCCTTCCTTTCTCCTCGCTCCGCTCAGTCTTCCTTTCTTTAACTGTCAGCTTGTCATTCATTTGCTAAATGTGTTCATTTCCTCCCCATGAAGCGGCGAGCGTGCAGCAGGCAGCCGCTGATAAATAAGCTGCTGTCAGGCTGGGCGTCATCAGAACCAGGAGCCATTCTTTCTGCTCCTCTGGGCGCGAAACCAAAACAGGACAGAAGCTGCAGTTTATGTCGGCGTGAAATAAGTCATTTGGACGCCTGCATCTGTTTAGCGACAGCGAAACATAAATGTCTGCATGAGTTTAATTATGTCTTTAATTAACAGATTAATTCTACCAATAGAGCAACTTATGGGTGAAGCCTTTATTTTCTGGGTTTCCTCCTTTAAACAGTTTTCTCTTTATTTGGGTTCATTTAGCCAGGCTACACCCAGTACTCCAGTTAAGGGGGGATGAGGAGGGATGGCTTCACCCTTCTTAAATAACCATCCCCCCCCCCATACCATCGCCTGTGACATTTCATCACTAAATGTGGACATTTCTATTACGTATTAACAGTAATGGCAATAATATTGTCCTTTCTACATTTGGCGGGCTGTGCGTCTACGAGTAGCCTGACCAGATTACGGTGGCCCAGAGGGAACACACCGTTTCATTGTTCGACCTCAGAGGCACAGTGACCGTGTTCTGAACAGCATCACAGCCAAGCGGCAAAGAAAACGAGATTTGAGGGACTTTTTTAAGAAGGAAAAATCTAACGCTTCAGGTCCAGAGTCAGAAGACATTTCCTTTTCTAGGCTCCCCATTGTGTCACCAAATGTATAGAAGTTCTCATCTCTGGACACAGCGATCGCTGCAAAACTAGGGAAACTAGTTTGAAGCGCAAATATATTTCTGTCTTTAAACAGGAGAATTAGTCTAGAGTGAACAGGCATCTCCGGAACGGCTCCGGATCTCCAGAACGGCTCCGGATCTCCAGAACGGCTCTGGATCTCTGGAACGGCTCTGGATCTCTGGAACGGCTCTGGTCTCCGGAACGGCTCCGGATCTCCAGAACGGCTCTGGATCTCTGGAACGGCTCCGGATCTCTGGAACGGCTCTGGATCTCTGGAACGGCTCCAGGATCTCTGGAACGGCTCTGGATCTCTGGAACGGCTCTGGTCTCCAGAACGGCTCCGGATCTCCGGAACGGCTCCGGATCTCCGGAACGGCTCCGGATCTCTGGAACGGCTCTGGATCTCTGGAACGGCTCCAGGATCTCTGGAACGGCTCCAGGATCTCTGGAACGGCTCTGGATCTCTGGAACGGCTCCAGGATCTCTGGAACGGCTCCGGATCTCTGGAACGGCTCCGGATCTCCGGAACGGCTCTGGATCTCTGGAACGGCTCCGGATCTCCAGAACGGCTCCGGATCTCCAGAACGGCTCTGGATCTCTGGAACGGCTCCGGATCTCTGGAACGGCTCTAGATCTCTGGAACGGCTCCGGATCTCCAGAACGGCTCTGGATCTCTGGAACGGCTCCGGATCTCCAGAACGGCTCTGGATCTCTGGAACGGCTCCGGATCTCCAGAACGGCTCCGGATCTCCGGAACGGCTCCGGATCTCTGGAACGGCTCCGGATCTCTGGAACGGCTCTGGATCTCTGGAACGGCTCCGGATCTCTGGAACGGCTCTGGATCTCTGGAACGGCTCTGGTCTCCGGAACGGCTCCGGATCTCTGGAACGGCTCCGGATCTCTGGAACGGCTCTGGATCTCTGGAATGGCTCTGGTCTCCGGAACGGCTCTGGATCTCTGGAACGGCTCTGGTCTCCGGAACGGCTCCGGATCTCCAGAACGGCTCCGGATCTCTGGAACGGCTCCGGATCTCTGGAACGGCTCTAGATATCTGGACAGTCTCCGTTTATGTAACAGACCATGAGTCTCTTCCTTTTAAAGGTCCATCAGAGCCCCAGCGATCCAAACGTCCTAACGATCAGAACCTTCAGAACTAAATGTTACAGACATGTCTGGATTCAAAAGGAAAAAATATTAGAAAGAGGAAAGTTTGTTCTTGGTTCTGCCGTTTCACCGTTTCCACCAGCGTTGTAGAGGCTGAACAAGCTCATCAAACCGACACACGAACACCCACAATCCTTGCTAGTTCCTGATTGGCCCTCTGGCGTTGTGGCGTGGAATAATATAGCTCAGACAATATTTGTCATAAATCATAAATATGTGCATCATACCTGAAACAATCTAACTGCGACACACGGCTGCAGGAGGATAACCAGACCTTTACTGGGATGAAGGACGTGAGGTGATGCTGAAGGATAGAGGGAGTAACCTTTCCTGTGATGTCACAGTTTGAATTTTAACAAACATCTAAAGTTTCCAACGTTGTAAAGGTTGGGGAACAGCGCCTCCTGCTGGTTAACCCTGGGTTAGGGTTAAACCTTCTCCCCCTAATCTACCCAGAAACACCCCGTTAAACCGGCCTGATCCGTGTCTCTGTCTACATGCTGGATAAGTAACGGTTACTTGGTTAAACATGAAATAAAGAGAACTGAAATTATTCACCTTGAAAATGAGCTAAAATTGCCTTAAACTCTAAGAGCAAAGAGCTGCAGGACCGTCTGCCTCAGACTCAACAATCCAGAGAAGAACGACTCTGACTCCTCAGCATGAAGACCCGCCTGTCCTCCTCCATCCAACCAACCAGGAACCATGATTAGCCGTGTTCACTGCTGCCCCGCTAACGAGCTGCCATGCCTGTCTGAGCGTGCACATGGAGGAGAGGAGCTGTTAGCGGGGCCCAGACGGTCCGCTGACCTTGGTGACGAATGCAGAGCAGCGTTTCAGCAGAAGCTGCATGAAGACAGCAGGTTGGAGACGGCTGAGGAAGTAAAGCCATCTGTACGCCTTGTTGTGTTTATCCATCAAATACTATTTCTGGGCTCCTCGGGTCTCAGCGACAGAATCAGTGGAGGCTTGGCCAGAATCTGAGGCTTAGCTTCTCCGTTTGATCCAGAGAGGAATGAGGCTCAATGTTTCATCCAGTTAGCCTCTAAAAAGGACATCATTGTATGAAAGATCATTTCAATCCTCGCTTTACAGAAAAAGGTTCTGATCCAAATAAAGATTCATTCCTGATCTATCTCTATAGTTCTGCTGCTATAGGCTTAGACTGCTGGAGGACATAGGGACCCCTTTTTCATCATTCTGCTTCATTCTATCTCTATTCTCCCACTCAGAATCGCTTCGACGCCGTAAGGAAGTCTTTCTCCATGGCCTCTCTGAACTCTTCCCACGC